AAATAAATTACAAATTTTGTATTGTTCGATACATATGCGTACCAAACCGAAAGCACTGTATTGAACGGTTCAATATCGATACGAGTATCGTTGCACCCCTAATCATTACACCGGGACCAGCCCGAATCCTTGAATGCATAGCTCGCAGTTGTTTATGCCGAATTATCTCCAATTTTCCTTTTCTTAGCTGACAGCAGTGGCACCCGGCGTGGTCTTCTGCTGCTGTAGCCCATCTGCTTCAACGCTTCACTTGTTGTGTGTCCAGAGATGGTCTTCTGTGAACCTTGATTGTAACAAGAGGTTATTTGGGGTTTTTTTCCTCACTGGATATTTTCCCTTTTATCACACCAGTTTTATCTGTAAACCTGAGAGGTAGTTGTGTGGAAAAATCCCTGTATATCAGCAGTTTCTACAATACTCTGGAACCAACAACCACGCCACGTTCAGTCACTTTAATCGTGTTTTTTCCTCATCCTGATGCTCAGTTTGAACTCCAGCAGGTCCTCCTGACCATGTCAAAACCTGCCGAGTTGCTGTCAGGTGACTGGATGAATTATATATCGTAGAAAAATGTAAAAAAGTAAAATAAAAATAAACAAGAGATTTTGAACTTTTCTGATTGTCAAATTTATTGTAGAGGATGACCCCAGATGCCTCACTCACTGTCTCGTTCTCAATACTTAAACAAACCATACAACCACGCATTATCGGTGGATTGGTAGCTACCTGGCTACCAATCCACCAGTATATTATGTTATATTAATGAAATAAATATCTATAAACATATATATAAAAAAAAAACGCTATATAATAAAAGTACATTTTTAATTTTATTATATAGATTTTATTTGTTTTTTATAGATTGCTGCTTATCCTTGGTACATTCCTCCACAAGCTGCTCACTTTATCCAGATATATTTATGTAGAGTTACACTAAATCTTGTATTACTCGCCTGTGGCACAAACTTGACCCCGTGGTTAGCTGCTAAGAAGTCTCCGGTTAGATAAAACCTCTCTCATAAGGGAATGAAGCCACTAAAAGGAATTTTACTGCATTCTCCAGGATGAGGAGCCACTGCAGCCTGGCCATGAAAACAGTCTTATTTGGCTTTAAGCCAGCAGCACGAGTTCCCCGTGTCACTTCAATTAGCACACTGCGAGCTCTGTAGGCAGGGAGTCCTGAATAAACAAGTGACAAGTGCAAACATCACATGTAGGGCAGCGATTTAGTTTTTTTTTTTTGTGCTTTGTTTTGTTTGTTTTATCTTCACTCAACAGTCTTAACTTGAATGATACCTCTGGGGATACTGTACTGTGCATTTTTATCATTCCTGTCACCTGTCACATTTCAGACACTGCTGCTGGGGTTCAGCCATCACACTGACTAGCCCCTACACACAAGCTTAAAGTGTGAAAGTAGCAAAATCTAACAGAGGCATGGATTTAAATAGAAAAACCCACAGGGGAAAGCCTTGTGTGGCCAAACAGCTAGCCGACCTCATAAAATGAGCCTAGAAGATAAAAACTTAAAAACTGCCCAAGCATCCACAAGTGTAACCGGGATGAGAACCTAGATGAGGCTTAAATGGGTCACTGACAGACTGACGCAAACTGGAGAAATGAGTCACATACTGAGACAGACGATTTTAACCTTGCTTCAAACTGTACTGGGTGACTTTTGATAGCATTTGTGCATGACTTTCTGAACTACTAAACATCAAATGAAGAAACAGTCTCTCAAACAAAAGATCTTCTCTTTCTCTGGACGTGGATATGTAATAGTAAGCAAACACGCTGACCCCACAGTGAAACGGAGAGCACAGGAGAGCAGCAAAGCGGCAGCAGAGACTCTCACGCAGAGCTGAAATTACATAAGTGCACATGAATTGGACTATATAATTAACATAAATGACTTTGTTTTACTTGGAGCTCTGACACTGCTTTTACTTTTATTTTCTGTCCTTATAACTGACATTTTGAATATAGACTAACATGCATCAAGCCAGCTACAAAAACAACACAAGGATGGGGTTCTAATAAAATTACTCAAGTTGCACTATGGGAAATGTAGGAATTGAATAATAATAATGGAATTCAGCGTAGAAGGAAAATAAACTTTAAATACTTTAAATGGGAGTGCTTTACTGGTGCATTGCAGTGCCCCGATAGCATAATTTGATTATCGATGGTGACCTTTGTTGATGTCACGTCCCCATCCCTCTTCCTTTACCTTTCCCCCCTTGCAAGAAACACAACTGCAAAACTTAAGATGTATTTTAAGTGTTTGCAGGACTCGGAAAGCACTGACGCACGTTGCATTGTTGAATTAAGTCATCGGCTGGGTCTTGGCTTCTTGTAGCAGTACTCAATGTGAACCTCTGAATGATGTTTGTGGTAATGTAAGCATAAGGCTTTGATAAACAGAGGGAAATCTGTAAAAGTGGATATTATTCTTCTGTTAAAGGAGTGAAATCTAAACAAAAAAAACAAAACCCAAAGTACTCTGGCTACATCTGTCTAAATGATACAAATGACACCTGGGGCTGACTTCTGCAAGTCTGCACGCACATGTGGACCAACCAGAGACTATTATGAGGACTTTTGAGAGAAAACTGTGCACTGTCATACATTTTATTGAAGGGGCCTTCAATGCTAATCTTCCACCATCCACCACCTCTCTCCCGCCTTTTCATTTCCTTTCTCTCTCCTGAATCTCTCTCAGTTTCCCCCCCTCTTGTATCAACTGCAAATGTCACTCACACTGTGAAAAGTGAATTCAGCTGGCTGCCTGTTTATACCGGAGATAATGGTTTCAGAAAAAAAATAACTAATTGATTTAACGCCTTTAGACATTTGTCTGAAGATGATGGAGCTAAATGTGATAGTTTTCCATTTAAATTATGACACAAATACAGTCAGTGATGTCTGCTGGAGGATGCAGATGTCAAAGTCTGGAGAAATATGCATGTGCAAATCAAACTGCTACAGGCAAAGTTGGATTTGTGCGTGCAAAATGTGAAATTGACAAAGTCTATTCTGAAGGCAAAGGACGACTTGGCTGGATTTAGCCCTGGAAACAGATGCCGAGTCCTGCAGTCCTGCAATATAAAAACTGTCATGAAATATCACCAGGAATCTCGTGCACCCCTTTGATTCTTTATAGCTTCAGTCAGTTTAGTCCCATTTGGAACAAAGTGTGATACACTGGAAGCGGGGATTTGTGACTATTTACTCCCACCATGCCCAGTATGGGCTTCGAGATGGCCGTGAAAACGAGAATTTTTAAATGCAAAATAAAGAAAAAAAAAAGAAAAAGCCAACCACTTAAGTCAGAGGTTTAACTCTGAATAAAATGGCACTGGCAGCACAGACTGTACAGCAGTCTTTCCCGTTTTGAGATGCATGCTTACACAACCCAGCGCCGTCCCGTCCACAGGGGCAGAAAAGCTGCTTTTCAATTTAAACCAGATTAGTCAATAAAACGTCACATCCATTTTGCTTTCCCGGGACACAGCGAGTGATGATGTGCCTCGGGAAAATTAACTTCACAGAGTTAAGCCGTCTGTTTTCTTATCTGCCACAATATTGCGATAAACAGGAGAGGGGGAGGAAGGGAGGCATTAAAAAAGAAAAAAAGGTCTTAGTTGAATCTGCAAAAAAAAAAAAAAAAAAAAAGATTATCAGAACAGCCTTTCAGTCAAAAATCACGTCCTCTGTGATTTCAACCTGAACCCCAGCTCACTTATTCTCCAAAAAAGCTTCTATTTTACGAGGACGGGCCTTGCACATAAAATCAAGTTAGTTAAAAGCAACCATTAAGAGCTACAAATGCACCGATATATCAGCCAAACATCAATATCGTCCCCGTTCGCTGCCATCAACCTGCCAGCAAATGGGATGACATTTACTGATGACTCTGGCCAAAATGTCTTTTCTGCTGTGCCACATAAATTTTGCGCCTGTTTAATGTTTGAATATAGTGATATGATGGGAGTTTTATTCCCTTGTTTTCTTAGCACACAGGAGGAAAACTGCAAAAACAAACAACTTCTTTGGTAATCAGCCAAATGGTTATTTTAAGCATCAGAATTGGCTCACAAGTTCAAGATGGGTGCATCACCACTAATTGCAACTATAGAAAAAATATTTCCCTTTTTACCCACTAAGAGCCAAATGAGAAGCTACAATAACACTGATGAATCCAAAGCTAAACAGAAGAGCAGCATAGCTCCAAAACAAGAAAAAAAGGGGGATTAGTGAAAGAAAACCTACATAACACAAATAAACATCAAATATTATAACAATCCAGCAATCTTTAGAGACTTGACTGTAAAAATTTGGCCGGCAAAACCTAAATAATATTTAAAAAAAAACAAAAAAAAAACCCCTCCTCAACACACTGCAGCCTAAAACGTGCAGGAAAACAGACGACGGGGTGATGGGCCAACACATGTTCAACATTTACAAGAAATGCTGCAAAGTGAGAAAATGTGACCATACACACAAACCACGCAAGAAGCTAAAACGCCCTTCTGTTTAAATGTTTCAGTGGCATGTTTCAGAAAATGTTCCATCTGCTGAAATCCCTGCAGCATTTCAGTGCCGATGATGCTTCCATAAGTTTGCTGTGTGTTGGGCCACTTCGGGGTGACTAAAGAAACAGCCTGACCTGGCACAAAGAACATATCATTTCACTATGAATCATAGGAAAAGGATTTCACAGAAAAAAAGAGACACACCAATCCAAAGCAGTGCTTTAGTGAGGAGTTAAAAAACTATGTATTTGGTTATTTTGCACCTCTGGAATTAAGAGAGGCTTTATTTATAAAAAGGGGGACATTTCCCTTTTAAGGTAATCACTGATGCATGCGATGAGCTTTTAAAAAAAATCATCCAGTCAGCTTTAACTGTAACAGATGACTAAGTGTCAACTGCCACCGACAGCAGCACAGTTTTCGTACTGTGTACACTCACGTTCCTTGATGCTGCTGCTGTTTCACTTCACCTTTCACACCGACTTCCACCAGAAACCTGCCACCACCAGAGGACCAATGACATCATCGCTGTAGTCTTCATCATTATCTGTCCTAAGCTGCCAGACAGCTTCATCACCTTTCCTTCCTATGCTGCAGCCTGTAGCTGCTACAGCACAGGCGCACACAAACAAACACACGCATATACACAAGCGCACACTGAGAGGAAGGAGACTCCTGCACAGCCTGACACAGCTTGGACCTGAGAGGTGACCCTCTCGGTATCCCGAGACGTCTCCCGAACATCCCCACGCTCTCTCACTCACCGGCCGCAGTGTCTCTATCTCGTTAGAGCGGATTAAAGCCTGACGATGAATGGATGTCGCTCTGGCCACTGAACTAGCACTCTGGGGTCAAAGCAGGCTCATTAAAAGGCTACACACTGTACCCAGTGTTTATCAGGACGGCTGGAGACGTGGGGAAAGCGTTTCCAGGCTTGCACCCTCGACAGGAAAATAATGCAAACCCCAGACTGTCAGGCGCTGGAATGACAGCGGCGAGTAATGAAATGTGATGGCAAGTTAAAAATTAAAGAGTGTCTGCAGCGTTCAAGCCTGTTGATACAACTGCACACAAATGAAATTAACTGGCATTAGGATGGGGATATTCCCTGCTTCTCGATGCAGCACCCCCTGCACATCACGGCACCGCATGAGCCTCGTTAACAATCCAAATCACAATCGAGCTGCAGAAACAGGCACATACCTTCATTGCACCTCTCGTCTGAGGAATTTGCCGAGTAATGTCAGAACGACGACCATTGCAAGTGCACACGGAATCAAACCATTACGTCTTCCCTCTCTCCGGCTACCAGTGTGTATGGAGTAAGCATAACGTAATGGCCAAGACAGCCACAGCCAATCACAAAGAGCACACGGGCGCTGGTATCTTTAGCAGCCAATCCGCCCCGACACATCACCGGAGTAGGCGTTCACGCCTGTGCGTAAGGACGCATCTGAGCGTGCCAGACGAATCACGCTATTTTATTTCTCCTCAGCGTTGGTTTATTCTGGTGACTTAGCAGCAATAAGCATTATAATAAGGTGGTCAGCTTTAACAGCCCTCACACAAATTTGGTGCCTTTCACAATGAAAACTCCTTGAAATCGCAAAATATAACACATCAGCTTGAAGGGGTCGTATCTGCAGGAAGAGGTGATAACTAAGCTTATCTTCCGCACCAGCACACGCTGTGTTATTTCTGTCTGTTTGTACCAAAACTAAATGCGTTTACAGTCTTATTTACAGGCACATTTAGCCCCTCTCTGTGTGTGCGCGCGTGTGCGTCTGTGTGCGCACAAGGATATCGTCTGCAGTAAGAAGATTAGAGGGGTTTTCTTTCTTCACATAGATAGTACCTGCTGAAAGTCCGCAGGGGGCAGCAGATAGCCTTCAGTGAGTTATGATCGTTCAGACACGAGGAAGCCGCAGGCATGAAGGATGCTCCCGATGTTCTTAGTGTGTAATATTACGAAATCCTACAGAAAATATGCGTCTTTGAAATACGCGCAGCTGCTGCAGCAGTGGTGCAGGAGAGAGAAAGTGCATCTGAGGTAACTACACAAGACGCATTGTTGTGTGTGAAGTGAGTACAGTGCCGACTCTCTTTAAATTCACTGTCATCCACAGTAGTACATCAAACAGTGACCTTATGGTGATTTTATTTCACGTAGCCACATTAAAATAAATTTGTGGATCCCTTCAGGCCAGCAGTGACACACTTTAGAGTTTTAGATTCGACCTGAATATTTTTTGCACTGTGTGGCTGCACTGCAGGATGGAAGAGTTCTACTTTTTTCTTTCATGTTAAAAACATGCAACCAAGTAGAGGTAGACATATAATCCAGCATGTTCGACGTATCTTTAAACTACTTTTTGGTGGTTGCTGCTTCTAGTTGTTCAAGTTCTGATCTGATAGAGCCACCACGAACAAAGGCTCTTTTGTTCCAGTGATGTTAAAGCGTTTGAATTCTTCTCTTTGTGTACGATCGCTTGTTTTAATTTATTTCCATCTGTGTTTCCTCCTTCTGATCTGGTCATGTCTAAATTGCTTTGACCTCTCTCTGTCCTCTAGTGTAGTGCGGTTCCCACGTCTCAGTGTTATTTTTCTGGGAGTTATATCCTGTTTTACATCCAATGTCTGTTCTGTGTTGTGTCACACAGTTTTATTTTCTGTTCCTTTCCTTCCTTTTGTGATTTTTTTGCCCCTCCCTCATTCTGTCTCAGTGCCCTGAGATATATATTTATATATTTGTAGTCCTATGTGTTTCCGAATCTTTGTCTGGCTGTTAAGTTCTTTGCTTTTTATGGTCCCTTTTGTGATGTTCCGCTTTATTGTTTGTGACCCTGTTTCCTTTTGTGTGCTTTCATTTTTGGCTATTAAACAAATCGTTTGTTAAATTATTTTGTAAAACTCTAGAGGTACACTCTAGAGTTTTACAGGAAGAGCATACTCTTGTGCAACAGGACAGATTTTATATAAAGTCTTTGATGTGGTGACCACAGATGGATCCTGGCTTACATTGTTACAGTTAGCTTGTAACTGACAGAAGATGTGTGGTAATCAGTTCATGTGGTTGCTTTTTTATTAGTTAAAAGTAATTGTTCAACTGTTACGCTCTTCTGCAATTAGAGTTACAGACTCTCTCTTTGACACCTCTCTAAATTTGTGCTTTAAGTGAGATTTATCTGCTATAACAACCTAAAAATGAAATAAAGGATGACTTTGAAAATCATAGCATCAGCTTGTTTTCTCTAGATATCCTGATAACATCATCAAATTAAATGTTTTTATGCAAAACAGTAATGTACTAAAATCTGCTAGTGTGAGGGCTCAAATCATAACGAGACAGGGCAGGAGCAAACACAACATGACGTATACTGACGGGAGACTATCAAAGTAAAACAGGAAGTACACAGAGAAGCAGACTGGAGGGAGAGAGAACACGGGAAGAGCACAGACATAACGGGCTGGGGAAAACATGGAATAAAACACAAGGAGGAGAAACGAGGCACGGGAACTCACAGATATAC